GACAACGTTTGTTTGAATATCACCTTTCACAAGAGAGATAAAAATAGATCGCCGGTGCCGGACCATACATACCGAGTGAAGTTAGAAGACTTGTTCAAAACCTGCGTCTGGCAACTGTGGCACCAATCACGTTCAAGGTCGCCCAATTCAGTGTCCGCGAGCCAGTCAGCAACGGACAGTGAGTACCAGAGGTCTTGCGCGTGGATCTGCAGTAAAGGTTATTGCTAATTCTCTTTTCTTTGTGAAAAATGCTGCATTCCAATCGTAGGTATGCTGACAAGAGACTTTCAAAAGGGAAATTGATAGTTCAGGACAAGCGACAATATTTAATGAATGCGATTTATGTGACAGTTAAAATAAAGACCATTTGTCGTGTATTTGTTTTAATGAATTCAACTGATTGGAATACATCGTGTTAAATATATTCTTGTGCCAGACATTACCAGGATCAGCCAGGAAAGGACGTGACATACAAAGGTTTATAGCGAGGACGTTCAGCTAAATGACCGAATAGTTTCACACTAGCCACAATTTCCTGAAGGACAAACCTTAAAAAAAATACATTTAACTCCACGCATTCCTCCTACATTTGAAGTCGGGGAATATATGTATAACTCTACATTATTAAAGAAACAATAATTCCTTTAAAGTTATATGGACGAAGCAATAGGTCTTAGAGGACAACTTGACACTATGGACATTAGAGATACTCGTACGGGGTGACAGGCAATGACACAAACCACTCGGGGCTGAGAAGGCGGTGCATAGACAGGCGCCGGCGGTGACCTTGCGGAGAAATGCAGTCATGATCTTAATTTTTAGGGGGGATAATCCTTACACTTGACGTCGTATGGTACCTGTGTGTGTATCAGAAAGGTAGTGAGTGAGAGTGAAAAAGAAAGAAAGAAAAAAGAGAATAACGAAGAGAAAGAGAAATGGAGAGATAGTGTGTGTTTATGCGCGTTTGCGTGTGGTGCGTGCGTATTCGTTTGTTTGTGTATTTGTTGGTTTATAGGAGCGCTAACAAGCGAAGCATAAACAGCTGTTCATTGATATTTATGTATAGATATTTACATTGCTTTTTTAGAGTTGATCACTGTTCTTTTTACTCTTGCATACACGTGGTTCTGTTATTGTAAGTATGGTGATTATTCTTACAGGATGCTGGTAAAATGATGTATTCATTATAGTTGCTGTCATCATTGTTGTCATATTACCTTTATTATCATTATCAATATCATTAATGTCATTATATCTACTATTACTGCCATTATTATTGTGATGCTTGATATAACTTGCTTATATTTACATGTAGGAAGAAGTAAAACGTAGAAATTGTAATACATTGCCAAGTGGAGTAATATCACCTGGACTTTCTCACGCACCTTTACACCTGTGCATACAGCCTCACAGGGGAAGATTCGGACACACTCTATCAGTATCCCTTCGTTGTGGAAAAATTTCATGGTAAGTAATTTCATAAGCAAATCGAGTTTTCTATAAATTATTTCTTTGTCTTTCCAGGCCTTCTAAATAGATATAGTAGTAGGTACTGATAGTTCTCACAAGACACAAATCGGTTAGAATAAAATTATTTCTATATTTCCCTTCACAGATGAGGTTGGCACTTATATTTTGCTGGCACTGGCGGGTGCGGCCTCGGGAAATTGGCTCCCCTCGAGAGGCCTTACAAGATCCTCATGCTGCTGCCTGTGGGGACGAAGAGCCACAAGAACTTCTTCACGAGCGTTGCTGACGCCCTGGCGAGCGAGGACACAAGGTGAGGGTGTAAGGTGCAAGGGCTTAGATAGAGAGATAGGTAGAGAGGTAAAACATGGATAGATAGATAGGCAGAAAAGGAAAATAGTGGATAGACAGATAGGTAGATAGGTCAAAGGATAGATAGATAGATAGTAAGTAAAAGACCGATCGATAGATAGACAGATTGACGAATAAAGGTGAAGATGGGATAATACTTAGTCGGTTAACCCAAACACAGACGCATAAAGTTTGCGAATAAACTACAAGTACGATACTCAAATCAAATAGAAATGTATTAAACACAGATTCAGTTTAACGAAGGAATAGAACACCTCAGCCATCCCACGCCGGGAACCCAGATAACGCAGACGTCTTCTTCTTCAGGTGGTGATGCTGTCCAGCTACCCTGCGTCCTCTAAGAACCCCAACGTCACGGAGATCGACCACGGACTCAGGGACTTTGACGTCGAAAACATGAACTTATTTGAAGCTCGTGATGATCCTACGGGAGGCTTTTCACTCCTGGAGGATATCCTTCCGGCCATGGCGAAGAAACTTTACAAGATCCCCGTTGTGACGGAGTTGTACGACAAGAGGAAAATGTACGATCTCATTATTGTGGATCATATGATGAATGAGGTAAGGGTGTTTGGTTTGTTTGGCTGCTTGTCCCTTTCTCTCACTGTCTGTCTGTCTGTCTGTCTCTCTCTCTCTCTCTCTCTCTCTCTCTCTCTCTCTC